ATACGTGTATATAAAGATTTTCTGATTTTGATGTCCATTAGTGACTAAAAAAGTGCACGTTAAGAAGAAAAGAAATTTATTGGATCCAGAGATGTAAGAGTTTTAGGAATTAGTAGACGTCCTGTCACAAACAATTCCTATATTTCTAAGCTTCGAAAACCGCAGCGTGTCAATCGCAGCATTCCGTGCATTATAAAAGATGAAAGATTAACGCGAACCGAGAAAATATTGGCGCGCCGATTGCGTCGAGGGAATCGCTTTATCGATAGAATGAAAATTATGCACGAAATTCACATGCATTATTGGGGAATGTCGAAAGAATGAATCATGAATGAATGGAGTTTTCATTTAAATTTTACAATTCTTACAAGAGAGTGGTTTTGAAATTCCATACAGTCTCAATTAAATTAAATTAAATCAGTTCTTTTCAATTGATATTTTGTAATTCTCATTTCTTTTCTTTCTTTCTTTCTTTTTTTTAATTACTTCTATCTAACTATTTTTGTCTTTTTGTTTAACAGATCGACTACCCGGAAGTGCATGGAGGAAGGATGCATCGACCACCGCACCCTCATCCCATAACCGACCATCGACAGGTCAATTTGGTCTTCGATGACACGGTAAACATCTGTTTTCGAAAAACTTTTTTTTCTTCCCTTCTCAGACAGGAATTGCAAGCATACTTACAGAAAGAATTCACGTCCCTTTCTTTGATCTGAATTTTAAATAAATATATTGATCCAAAAGAGACGAAATTTGGAATGAGATTTTATAATCATTTCTCTATAGTCTTCAATCAAGAAAAAAAAAAATATTTGGTTGTACTTTGTTTGTTCGAAGAAGACTCATAGCTCGTAACACTTTTGCTGATCATTTCCCTCGCAACATTGAGGTTCAAGATCATTTGTCTTACATCATCGGCATCTCGATCGTTGAAAGAAAGTTTAGTGCCGTCGATCCATGACGTGTTCAACGCGCTCACGTGTTCTCGATAATCGAAAAAACGGGAGAAAGAGAGATGAGAAGATCGTATCGAGAGCGGCCAGTGGCAAAACTTTTTAAAGTAATCTTTTTTTTTTTTTTCTTCTCCTCATTGTACGTTTTCTCATGCATTTTAAATGTACGCCGGTTCCCTCGTGAGAAGAAGTTTTATCAGTTCGTGTATTTTCTTATTTCCATCGGACACGTACACGTGGAATATTCAGCAAGTAGCAAAGAGTAAACAGCGGTCGTCGTAAACCGAGAAAAGGTTTTCCTCAGTTGGAAAGTGGAACGTAACACGGAATACGATTTATACGGCTGTGCTCGAAGAAAATTTATTTTTTCATTGGAATGCGAATATATACCTTTCTTTATTTAAAGTATATAAAATATTTTTAATAATGTTTGATATAATATTAATATTAATCCTCAACTATTATTATGGAACTCTTAAGTACGGCATAATTTCTCTCTCTCTCTTTCTCATCAGGTTAACTGTCTTGACAGTGTTCGAATAGGTTTCGATTTAAATTTTTTATTGGAATACTTCGCGATCCCACCAGAATTAACATATTTCCATTTTATTCCTCAGAATGTCATTTACATTCTTCTGAAACTAGAATCTCCAACGTAATCTCGTTCAAAAATGAATTGAAATTTATACAGAATATCGCTTGAAGTTTCAATTCGAAATGTGGAAATTTACATGCAATTTTCGTGGTAGAAAAAAAAAGAAGAAGAAGATCGAAGGAAGTTCAGCTTTCCCTCCGCTAGAGTATTTACCGACACGCGGTGCTTTGGGTCGAAAGTTCGTTAAGGCGCAACGCGTGCGAGTAAGATGATCTACATTAGACTGTCTCTCCCCTAAAGAGTCTGTGGAATGTGCATCGGTGGTATGCACTGGTATGCCAGTGGCTGCCCGGTCGAGTAGGACGAAACTGAATGGGAGAAGCAATTTGGAAAGTCTGCGGAGCAGTAGAAAAGGAAAAGTGAGACACGAGCACACGACATAACGGGTCGTATAAATCATCTGTCGGGTCGGCCAGTGGCCTTTAAGCAGATACTATTCGCTGTGTTGGATGCTTTGAGCAGACCGGTACTCTTTACACCGAGTATCCTCCTTCTCTCTCAATCGCTTACCGACTGACGATTGACCGACCGTCGACTCCTTAAGCTCGTTTCACACGACCGTGTTTCATCCCGCCATCAGCATGCTCGCCTATCTCGCATTCACGCGCGGAAAATTTATGCAACGGTGCTAGCGAACCATTTCTCGATACAATGTAATCGATGACTGAATGTTCTAAACATCGTAGATTACTTACAGACCAAGATTTATTTCACCCAGTTTTGCGACTGCTTTTAAACTCTACACCGTTCGAAGTTGTACCAAACTCAGACGTTTAGAAGAAATTTGCTCGATTTAGAAAAACAAAAAAAAAAAAAAAAATACGGAACGAAGCGACACGATAGAAGTTTCGTATAATTTGATCGATAATCGGCTATTAACAAAGTGCAAGCAGGGTGAAGCGAAAAATTAAGTCGGATACCGGCGGCGCTTCATTGATACGAGCGTTTTGTTACTGTCACGGTCAGAAGCTACAGGTGGGCCCCCCAACGCGCGCCCCCCTATTGAGACGGACCTGAAGCTTGCCGCTTGGCCGGGTCACGTGACCCTAGACTTTCGATGGGAATGCCGGTGGCAGGGCGATTGGTGGGGGAGGGACGAGAGGCAGTCCCATGTCCGCTACGTCGCTAAGCTGACGGTCCACGACACGGGGCACGCTAGATGCGCCACGAGTTTCGTGCATATAAAGAAGGTCACGTCGCGTTGCGTGTATATACAGCCGCGTATGTACCCGCGAGTAAGAGGTGCCAGTCTCGCGTGTTCGATCGAAACGTGGACCAAGAACGGAAGGAGGATGTAGCCGAACACTTAATTCACTTTTCTTCATGTTGTTTCCCATGTTGTTTAAAACACAGAGGAGCATAGTGCCGAGCAAGTGCCATTAGTAAAGACGACAGGATGGACGCCTTCGGCATGTACCAAGTGAGTTTGACGATCAGCCGCGGGCTCAAAATGGCCTTGGGATTATCGCGACTTAACTTACTTTTCTCGTTCCTTGCGATTCTCCCCCAACGATCCGGCCACCGTCGTCGATCGTCGCCGATCATCATTGGATGACAGATGTCACGATGTTCTTGTTTAGATATGATTCGTGCCACTATCCCCGTCTCTTTCTTTTGCCGTGCGTGTTTTCTCTGGCTGTTCGATGCTCTGCGTGCGTGATGTCATGTCTGACAACCTAACCTAACTTAAAAGCAGAGCCTGTCCCCCATCACGCCCATTCCTGGTACTATTCCGTAAACGAGCTCCGCTCGTCGCACTCATGTTTTTATCCTACTCATGTTTTCTTGATTCCGTTCTTTGCGGCCTCTTCCTGCCGATTGACAGATCGATGTCGACCGATAGATGATAGATCGCACGTTGTTCTCTTTGTAGGTTCTTTCTTTCCTTTCTTTTTTCTTTCCCGTGAGGGGAAAGAAACGGTGCATTGATATCTTCTCTTGGACTTGCACCGTGCTATTGTTTACAAAATCGCGATTGCACCGCCACATCGCGACAAAGAATGCGTTGCTTTGTATTAACATCGTCTGGCACTGAACATTAATGTAAACAGTTTGGTTAGCATATTTGAGAATGTAGCAATAGCAAAGAGAATATGCTGATGATCGCCTTCAATTAATGCGAACGTATCACGATGTACGTCATGTTTAATAGTAAATCGATGCGGCTATAAATATTTAGTATATAAATATTTAATACTGGTCAAGCACAAATACTTCATATCGAGTGATCTTTATAGTTTCTACTAAAAATTGTGCAACAATAAATAAACTGTAATATTAATCAACTAAAGGATAACTAACTGGAGAACTTTGTTCTTTTATAGTTTTCCCAGGGCCTGACAGGCAGGCCAGAGCTGTACCAAAAATCCAACAGAAGCAGCCATTCGAGTGACACAAGTTCAGCATACAGTGGTTCAGATACCATGACATCTGTACAAGGTTCATTAGATGCAGATGCGGACGATGTTGATTTATCTGGTCTTGTTGAATCCATAGTGGATAGCGATGAAGAGGAAGATCTTGCAGAGAGCATGGACGTGAGTATATTTATCAGCCGATAAATTCATAAAATTGAAGATAAATTTAACAAGACTTTATGTGTTTACAGAGCTTGACTGTCCGTGATCCAGTTAGAGAATGTTTGGAAAAAGATCCTATGGAAAGAACAGAAGATGATATAGAAACGCTCTTAGAATTCACTCAACAATTAAAGGCCTTCACAAACATGACCTTGGCAGTAAGAAGAGCGCTGTGCGCTGTAATGGTGTTTGCTGTGGTTGAACGTGCTGGTATGATAGTCTTAAACGATGGAGAAGAACTAGACAGCTGGAGTGTGCTTATAAATGGTGCTGTGGAAATTGAGCATAGCAATGGAGAAATTGAACAGCTGCACCTTGGTGATAGTTTTGGAATATTGCCCACTATGGAAAGACTTTTGCATAGAGGTGTCATGAGGACAAAGTCAGTACTACGTTAGAAATTTACTACTAGTAGTAGTTGTTAAATCGAAAATTGCCTTAATATGCTTTTATTTCTTTTTCAGATGTGATGACTGCCAATTTGTATGTGTTACTCAGGCAGATTATTTTAGAATTCAACATCAAGGAGAAGAAAATACAAGGCGGCACGAAGAAAACGGAAGAGTGATTTTAGTAACTGAATTAAGAGGTGCTTTAGATGGAGGAGCACGGAGGGGTCATGTAGTTATTCGAGGGACTCCTGAACGTTTAATGTTACAACTTATCGAAGAAAACAGTATTACCGATCCCACTTATATAGAGGATTTCTTATTAACGCATCGAACATTTATCGACAGTCCTTTATTAGTTGCGACTCAATTGTTGGAATGGTTTGATCAAGCACAAGTTAGGGATAGAGTTGCCCGTGTAGTACTTCTTTGGGTAAATAATCATTTTACTGATTTTGAAACTGATCCCGCTATGATGGAATTTTTGGAAGCGTTTGAAGCCGGTTTAGAAAGAGAGAAAATGCAAGGACAACAAAGGTATACATCAATCTTGTTAAATTTATATTCATGTGATAATTATCAAGCGTTTACGTTACTTTAAACTCTTTCAATAAATTCCAGATTATTAAATATCGCGTGTGCAGCGAAAGCGAGAACGCGGAATGTAACGTTAGCAAGGCCGACAAGAGACGAGGTCTTGCATTTTAGTATTTTAGGGGGATATGAAAGGGGTTTCGGCATTTTTATTTCTAAAGTGGATAAAAAGTCAAAAGCTGAAGATGTTGGTTTGAAACGTGGTGATCAGATTTTAGAAGTAAATGGACAGAGTTTCGAGCACGTGAGTCACGCCAGGGCTCTCGAAATTTTAAGGGGATCTACTCATCTTAGTATAACTGTTAAATCAAACTTACTTGGTATGTGACATCTTATAGAGACGATAATCTGTGGATTATAACTTCTTTTATGCGAGCAATGAATTACTGTTGTAGCGTTTAAAGAAATGCTTCAGATGCCAGATGACTCGCCGAGGCCGCGGGGAAGGGCAAACAAACCCGAGATTTCAAGAATACAAACAGATCCACGGGCAAGGTTGTCCACGCACGTGGACCCGATAACTCCAGCAAATCCATTGAATCCTTTAGTGGGCGGTGTTCCGCTGTTAATACCCGATTCAAATGTTTCTCCTTGTAAAGATGCTAAAAAAGAGCATAAAGGATTTATGACGCTTGGACCGAAAAAGAGATTGCAGAAAGCTCTCATGAAAATGAATATACTGCCAAAGAATACTATTAAGTACGTTAAAAACATATCTGTCATTTGTTGTTTTTTTCTCTTCTGGTTTAAGAAAATATATTTTACATGAGAGTGAATTCGTTTTACAGTGACGGTGTACACGTAGACGATCCTCTTGCACCTCCGCATACACCACCTGGAACAGGAGGACTTTCACAGACTACCAATCTTTATCATTCAAAAAGTAATCCTGACCTTACGTCGTTATATTGTTATGACGACTTGAGGGCGCCTGACTATCCGGAACATGTTTTGAAAGTTTATAAAGCCGATCAAACTTGTAAATATCTTCTTATTCATAAGGAAACAACAGCGCACGAGGTAGATATTTTGATCTTGGGGAAACAATATGCATGATTGAACGTTTCTATTTGTATGCTAATATATCGTTTTAGGTGGTAATGCTCGCCCTTCAAGAATTTGGTATAACCGCTGCCGAAGGCAGTTCGAATTTTTCTTTAGCTGAAGTGAGCGTTGGAGAAGGGGGAATGATCAAACAACGCAGGCTACCTGATCAATTGCAAAACCTTGCAGAACGAATTGGCTTAAGTTCTCGGTATTATTTGAAAACTAATGGTATCTCGGAGACATTCGTAGCAGATGAACAAGCGCCGGAACTTATACGCGAATCTCAGGTTCATTTCTTACAATTAAATGCCGTTGAAGTCGCGATTCAACTGACTCTACAAGATTTTAGTATATTCAGGTAAATTGATAATGATATTAATTTTTTTTTTTTTTTGCAAATATTGATTTGTATGTTATTTTTAGACAAATTGAATCTACGGAGTACGTGGATGATTTATTTGAATTAAAGAGTAGATACGGAGTGCCTATGCTCAGGCAGTTTGCAGAACTAGTCAACAGAGAAATGTTTTGGGTTGTGACAGAAGTTTGTTCTGAACATAATCTTGTTCGACGTAGTAAAATAATAAAACAATTTATAAAAATAGCCCGTGAGTTTTTTATGCTCAGTCACTGAAACTTTTTAGTATGCAAATTTTGTAACATATGTTTATTTGTTAAATAGGACAATGTAAAGAATGTAAAAATTTCAATTCCATGTTTGCGATTGTGTCCGGCTTGGGCCATGGAGCTGTTTCGAGATTAAGAGCTTCCTGGGAAAAACTACCGAGTAAATATCAAAGGCTCTTCAGCGATCTACAAGAATTAATGGACCCTAGCCGTAATATGAGCAAATATCGACAATTGGTAGCGTCCGAACAAACGCAACCTCCCATAGTGAGTTCTTGTCTTCTATACACCAATACTCTGTTTATTAAGCAACAAAGTAACATGAAATATTTCTCTCTCTTTTTTCAGATTCCATTTTATCCAGTAGTAAAAAAAGATTTGACGTTTATACACCTTGGCAACGATTCCAGAGTGGAAGGTTTGGTGAACTTTGAAAAGCTGAGGATGATTGCGAAAGAAGTGAGAACGTTAACGAATATGTGTTCTTCACCCTACGATTTGTCGATAATGTTAGAGAGAGGTGGTCAACCACCTAGTTCTGCCATGGTTGCGTTAAATCAAATGACTACTGGAAATCAAGGTGAGTAAAACTTGAACACGTAGAAACAAAAATGTGATAATTCGTTTTCACTAACAGTGTTGCAATGTCCAGGAGGACAAACGGCAACAGTAAAGAGACGGAAAAAATCTACGGCTGCGCCAAATCCGAAAAAGATGTTCGAAGAGGCTCAGATGGTTCGAAGAGTGAAAGCGTACCTTGCTAACATGAAAGTAATAACTGACGAGGAACGGTTACACGCCTTGTCCGTGGAATGTGAACCTCATGCAGGAACTGCTGCAGTAGCCGCAGCGGTACCTCTTAGTGGAAGCAGAGGAAGAAGGCATCCTTCGCCTACTTTGTCGACTACAAGCAGCGCCAGCAGCACCAGTGAAGGTAGAAAGAGTATACAAGGTAAGATTTCTTTTTGTCGTTCGTTGGAATTTTGAAACGTAAGTTCATCAGCTCTTTTGTAAAAAGTAGTGCAAGTAAAATATTCATTATTATGTATTTTCAGGTACAAAGTTCGGAGCTGCATCGCCGCAAGCAGTACGGAAAATGTTAGCGCTTTCCGACCCTCACAAAACTCGTCCGTACCAACCAAAACATTGTCCACCGGCGCTTCCAGTGCCTGGATTGGCGTTGCATTCCAGTGGATTGGAGCCTAGTCCCGGTGCACCTAGGAGAGTAGGATCTGGTAGCAGAGTTCCTATGCATGAGAGATCCCATAGCGATACTCCTTCCAGTTTACCACCACCTGTCGATCTCAGCGCTGAAAGTAGTAGCGTAACCAGCCTGAGCAATCTTCAGCCGTTAAGAAAAACGTTGACCAGTGGTAAGTTGATTAATTTCGACACGTAAAATG